AAAATATATACATTAAAATACAAATATACGATATAAAACATACAATATAAAACAAGCCGCCCTGGCCAGATAAAATTCAATAATATTAACATTTAAAATACTGCTTAAATAAAAAGGTCTTCGCCTGGTGCCGAAAAACAAATTTGGAGCCCTTTTTGTGGAAACTGGTTCCTTGCATGGTTCTGGGGACATTTGTCTTGCTGGATACCCCACTCCCATTTTCATTTTGTGATAATTTATCAAATTGATGGAATTGAATGGCAGACCACGAATATGCTTTTTAAACAATAATATGCCACCATTTGTAGTGTGGAATGAACTTAAATTTTGACTTGAGAGTTCACTGTCTCTTGGCAGTTGCTTTGGTGTCACTTAAAACCATGACACACCAAACACTTGCTAGGAGTAGTGATCAAAGTCAATAAATTTTTCATAGTTTTTGTATAGGATGTTATGCCAACTTTGGTTTTATGAAAACATCATGAAGCCAATTCAGAATGAGGAAGATGCTTCCTGTTCTGAATTAGCAGCCAGGTTTACACTGTTTGAAGCACCTTGAAAAGTTGTTAAGATTACCATTTTTACCCGCTTGCATTGATTGTAATGTCACAGTTATTTAGGGCTGCCAGCTCCTGAAATAAAATTAAGGATAGAGCTAGGCATAGATCCAGGAGTTAGAAGCCTTCATGAAAAAAGCTCTCTGTTCATTAAACTTGCATATCTATTGCATGTACTTGCAAATCTTATACTATGAAGCAATATCATCCATATAATAGTTGGGCAGCACATATGAACAGAACACATATGTAATCAGATCACATTAATGCAAAAACTAGTAATGTTGTAAGATTAAACTCAAGTAAGTGAACCCAGAACACAGGGAAGTAGTGAACTGATGTATTTAACACACACTACAAGTAGCATATTTTTACAATAAATTATTTATCCCATTTTACAGATGGGAAAATTCTGAATAATTCTGCCCAAACAAAGCAGTTAATCCATGGAACAGGACTTGTAATCATACCCTGTCATAAAAGCTAGCTGGGATATCTATGGCAGAGTTCTATTCAGTACAAATACAGTAATTCAGGACTTTTAATTCTGTTTCATTGTAGAACAATAAGCTGATTTATCCAATGAACAGCATTTTAAAGTACAAAACCAGCTCAATAGTTAAAGAGAACATTTGCTTGCTTGCTTTTGCCCATTCCCCCTTGGTTTTTTTAAACTGTAAATTCCTCTTTCCTTTGAAGAATGACTTCCTTTATCTTCACTGATTGAAGCAGGGGAAAGGCAATCACTGTATCCCTAGAGCTGTTCTGTCTGTGATTTCTGGGTGGTCAGTAATTTAAGACTGTCAGTGACTCACATAACGTCATGTGCTTCCTGATTAATTTTGTAATCATCTTTTTATTTTTCTGCAGGTGGCCGTGATAAACGAGGAGGTCCTATCCTGACATTTCCAGCACGCAGCAATCATGATAGAATAAGGCAGGAAGACCTTCGGAAACTTGTGACTTACTTGGCTAGCGTACCGAGGTAAAAGTTCAGAAGAACAGTGTTGATGGAGAGGATATGTTCTTGGCAAGCTGTTTACTGTCAACTTTTTAGCCTTTAATAGTCCCTCTTTTTTATGCACACTGGCAAGGAAAACAGTAGCTCTGCCTTTCATGTACACTATAATCATATCTTATCTACCCATACACACACTCACCACACCAGCACCACATGAGAGAAAAACAGAAACTGACTTGTTTGAACAGAGCTGTAGTTGTAGCTTAGATTGTGCCACATGCACAAAATTGCTTGAGCAAAGCCCTGGATTTCCAAGGTGTCAAAGAACACAATTAAGTACATTTTCCATTTTAGTATGTTTTCAGTGATTTAGTAATATGAACCCTGGTTATTTGATTTTTCTAAAGTAAGGAAGTGGATGAAGTTCTGCTAATGTTTGCCTGTGAGAGAAAGAAAGGAACTCATACTCAGGTTTGCAGTTTATCAGCTCAAACCTTGGTGTGAGAAGGCTTTCTAATACCTCACCCAAATTAGCATGCAGTTGTGTGCTTATGTACTCACTGTTTCTTACATGTTTCTGCTTCTTAGGTGTTGCTACTTTTTTACTAATAATATGATCCTTGCACAAAGGGTATCTTCATCTTTCTTCTAGGCTTGCTTTTATAAAACATGGCAATTAGGTCTACAATAATGGGAAGCTGTCTCATACATAGCTTTTAGGGATCCTGTTCCTACATTTAAGTTCTTTTCTTTCTGATATCAAGAGATAGGGAGGTGTTTGACAGGTGAAGATGGACACGTAGCTTAAGTTGTGCAGTGTGCTAGCTTAGATCTTTACTTCATGGGAGCAAATTTGGCTCATGGAATACTCCTAATGCCAGAAGTGGAGCAGGGAGGGATTTTTCTTGGATTTCTTTTTGGCTCTGAAGTTACCTGAGTTCTCTAAACATCTGCTTCAGAGAAGCGCTCCCAAAACAATGTGGAAGAAGATATGAGGTCCTGCAGAGAAAATTGGCAAAAATACCTTTTCCTAGAAGCATCTAACTATAGGGACTGGAAGATGGGGAAAGCCAGATTGAGTGCTGGGCAGTTGGTGTAGAAAGCTGAAGTACAAATCTGGAGCCTACCTACATACAGCACAGAACTTTACAAGAGGCTTGGAGATAGCACCAAAATGTAGTTTCTGTTCTTTGGCCATCTCTGCTCTGAGGATTGCTGTGAAAGCATGTGTAGCAATTACAACCAGGAAGAAGATTCAGTCACAGATCTGTGCCAGGGAATTAGAACACAGCAGTTATAGAGCCTTCTGCAGGGCTTGACCTAGAAGTGGGAAGTTCTACCCAGGAGAAAGCCATGAAAGACAGGATCTAAGAGCGTCCTTGTGTTGACACCTGTTCTAGCTATTCACCCTTCTCTCAGTGTTCTGGCTGTATGTGCAAAAGTTCCTTGCTTTAGGAAGATTAGGAGAGTTTTGAGTCTCTGCTGTGAGAGGTACAGGTATATCCTCTGACTGGGATACAAAGACCACAGATGGCATTTCCTTGGAAAAAATAGTTTGTATGACTTCTTCTCTGAACTCATACCAGCAGAGTGCACAAGGGTATACAGCAGAGTGTGTAGATGGGTTTGAAGGTGAGTAAGAATAAACCCTGAATTAGATAGAGCATAAATGTGGAGGCTGTGCAATACACACCTACTGATTTAATCTCCTGAGGAAAGTTTTGCTTTTACTTGAAAAGCCTTCATCATTGATCATTTGGTGATTTTCATTGTTGAATCCAATGCTATTTGTGTCCATATTGTGTGTGGGATTATGCATGTGTCTTAGGTTGTGAGGACAGTAGGTCAAACATCTATGAATAAATGTGGGATATCAATATGGCAGATAATGTAGCAATAAATCTGTCCGCTTAAATGTTATCTTATTTCATGTTGATTGTGAGCAGAGGAATGTGATGCCTAATACTTCCTTGTGTTGATCATTGTTACAAACACTTGCCTGACTTCAAACCATTTAGCAATCTCTTTGCTTTTTTGTGGGGAAGATGGATGTAATGGAAATAGCTCATGTGTCTATATCATATTTTCATATGCTTTTATGCCACAGGTAAATCAATCCAAGATCTTTACTCTGACAGTAACTCTTTTGGTTAGCATGAGATGTTAAAAAGACTGGCTGTAGTTTTGTCTATTTGTTGCTGGAGAAGTGAGTTCGGCAATTCTGCTGCTGCCAATGGGACTTTACAATGGCTAGATTTCATCCCTTTAGGGTGCAATCCTATGATCTCTCAATGTTGTCTGGAGAGCCACAGGATTATTTGGAACCCCAGTTCTAAGGTTTTGTGGAACTGGGACTTTGAAGGCCAAGCGCCCTACTCCTCCCCTACCCTCCCCCCCACACGGCCAGTGCAGAAAGAAGCACATCAGCTTCCCTGTTCAGGTTGCAACTGGTGGCCTGAGAGGATGAAAAGGGCAGTGCCAGGGAGGACCAGGAAGTGGGAGGCTGATTCCTATCAGTTTCCCAGCCTCCTCCTCTCCCGTTTCATGGTCCTTTATTTAGATGACCAAAATGGTCATCTAGATAAGGAGCGCAGTATGGGGTGCAGTGGTGGCAGATACTATCACCACCACCACACCTCATTTCATGGATTTCGACGTGTGGAATCCTCTAAGTTCAGAGGCTTATGTGCATCTAAGACAGGGAAGTTAAATTGTGACTTGCCAGTTTTTGATGAGTCCTATTTTATATCTGAACAGTTGCATTATTCCAGTTATGTCGTCCTTAGTAAGGAATTACACAGTGAGTGCCCAGTTTGATATTACATTTGCTAGTTTCTTTGACCTCACATTACTTACTTTTCCTGTGGTAGCCGTACAAGCAACTGTCCACTGACAAAAATGTGTGGGTGTCATCCTCACTTCCCACTCATTATCAGGTCTCTCTTTGACTCTCTGGGACAGAAGAGAAGGATGTGAGAGGGTTGTAGATGGCTTGAAGGATGCCAAGAGCAACAAGTGTGCCATAGGCAGTAACTTAACTAACATTGCTTGCCATGCCTATTTAGAGAAAATAGATTTTTTCACTTTCTTAAGTTGTGTGTAGAAATATTTTGTCTAATGGCACTCAGGAAGAATTCCAGATACGATCCCCAGGTTCATTGGAAATCATTTTAGGGTATTTAATTGGCACAACAGATAGTTCTGACAGTTGTGCAAGATTCATATCTTCTGATGGTTAATAGGAGGCAGAAGAGAAGGGCCTGCTTTTGAGTGTCTCAACCTGTGCACACATTGCTCTGTTTTGAAGGTCTCTGATGGTGCATTTTTGTATTTTTCTACTCAGAAGTAAACCCAGTTGAGTTAAGTGCTGCTTACTACCAGGCAATTGGATGTAGGGTTGCAGCATATCTCTGTATCATCATTGCTGGACATCTTTTCAGTGGGAAGGAACTGGTACACATTGTGAACTTGTTAAATAGTCAGTGCAGCTTTTTGATGTTCATTTCAAACCAATTGTAAGAGGGCCCAGGCTGATGCCTAGATATTTTGTTTTTGTTTACTTTTGTTGTTGTCGTTGTTTCTTTCAAAGGAGAGTTAGATGGAAATATTTGTCTAAGGTTTTAGTTGACTAAATGGTTCTGAAGTGTCTCATGACTCCTTGGTTCTGCTTGTATGAGTGCATCCAACTAGACTATATGCCTTAATTTGTGGCATCCCTGTTACTTTACTAATTGATATTGTGTGTGTGAAATTATAGTTCAGTTTATATAGCTCAAGGAACAGTCCTATGCCTGGTAGAGTCTGTACTGTCTGGCTGGCTATATCAGGACCCCTTCTTTAGAGGGTCCTGGTCCATCCTTTCATCTGGAATGGTTCATTCTGTGCTGGCTAAGGCTCCAAAGATGGAAGAGCATCTTCAGGACATTGCTGTAGGGAGTTTCCATGGAGCGGAAAGGTGCTGTTGTTATCCATCAAATCCGTGTGGTACTTTTCAGCCTCTCTTCCTTGTGAGCAGAAATTCAAAAAGTGTTCAAAAATCTGAATGTTTTGAGTGCGAGTGGTGCAGCGAGGCATTCTTTACCTGCATGCTTCATGTGTGCTCAGTTGGAAGGCCATAATCTAATGAGTTGGAAAGTTTATAGGCAGCCACATAGGAACGTGCCCCTAACTATATTTTGGGAGGATTGAGCCTATGAATCTGTTTGTAAATTAGTTAAAAAGATTTTATCTTATGTGGGACCTTATATTCTTATTTGGGGGTTGGCATGATTTGTATTTTAACACATTTAAAGATATTATTTATTTATTTAAACAACTTACATGCCGCCCCATCGCATGAGGCTCGGGGCAGCTTACAATCATAAAATCCTGCGTAAAATACCAAAAAAAAAAAAAAAAAAAATCAAATAATTAAGATACATAAAATAAAATAGTGGACACAGCCTGGTCAATTTAAAATAAACCATTAACAGTTAAAATAGCATTTAAATAAAAAGGTCTTTGGCCTGGCGCCGGAAAACAAATAAGGACGGCGCCAGGTGGACCTCTCTGGGGAGCGCATTCCATAGGTTGGGCACCACCGCAGAGAAAGCCCTCCTCTGAGTACTCACCCTCCTAATATCCTTTACAGAGGGTTCCCTGAGAAGGGCCTCTGCCGCCAATTTCAGGGGCGCGAGGGCATATATGGATGCAGGTGCTCCTTTAGGTAACCAGGGCCTAAGCCGTTCAGGGCTTTGTAGGTGATAACAAGCATTCTGTACCTGTGGCATGAAAGAATATCCTCTTGTATAACAGAAAAGCATTGGTGGTGGCTGGATTTATTAATATTTAATATGTTATTCACTGATTCCCTTAAAATAACTGTGTAGAAGGATTAGTATTCAAATAAAGGTTGGGAATTACAGGTGAGGCGATTGATCCACCCATTCCAGTAAGTGGATTTGTGTAACTTCTTTGCCTTGAAGTTTGCTAGGTGTATGGTTGGAGGTCACAGTTCCTGAAGACATGTGCATATACATACAAAT